CAGCATGGTACTGGCACAAAAACAGACATGAAGACCAGTGGAAAGAATAGAGGACCCAGATATGAATCCCACAACTATACCCACCTCATTTTTGACAAAGGTGCCAAAAATATACAATGAGAAAAGACAGCCTTTCAAAAATGTTGTGGGAAAAGTGGTTATCATCTGCAAGAAACTGAAACTAGATCCATGTCTATCACCCTGTACTAGTATCAACTCAAAATGGATCAAGGACCTTAATATCAGACCTGAAACTCTGAAGTTACTACAAGAAGGGGAAAAACACTCTGGAACTAATAGGTATAGGCAAAGACTTCCTCAATAGAACCCCAGCAGCCAGCAACTAAGAGAAAGGATGGACAAATGGGACTTCATAAATTAAAAAGCTTCTGCACAACAAAAGAAATGGTCTCTAAACTGAAGAGACCACCCACAGAGTGGGAGAAAATATTTGCCAGCTATACATCAGACAAGGACTGATAACCAGAATATACAGGGAACTTAAGAAACTAAACTCTCCTAAAATCAATGAACCAATTAAGAAATGGGCAACTGAACTAAACAGAACTTTCTCAAAGAAGAAATTCAAATGGCCAAAAAACACATGAAAAAATACTCATCATCTCCAGCCATAAAGGAAATGCAAATCAAAACCACATTAAGATTCCACCTCACCCCTGTTAGAATAGCCATCATCAAAAACACCACAACAACAGGTGTTGGAGGATGTGGGGAAAAAAGAACCCTGTCACTGCTGGTGGGAATGCAAGCTGGTGCAACCACTCTGGAAAAAATTTGGAGACTTCTTAAAATCTAAACATAGACTCCATATGATCCAGCAATCCCACTTGGGATATACCCAAAGGAATGCGACACAGGTTACTCCAGAGGCACCTGCACACCCATGTTTATTGCAGCGCTATTCACAATAGCCAAGTTATGGAAACAACCAAGATGCCCCACTACTGATGAATGGATCAAGAAAATGTGGTATTCATACACAATGGAATTTTACTCAGCCATGAAGAAGAATGAAATCTTATCATTTGCAGGTAATTGGATGGAACTGGAGAACATCATTCTGAGCAAGGTTAGCCAGGCTTAGAAGACCAAAAATTGTATGTTCTCCCTCATATGCAGACTTAGATCTAGGGCAAATACGCAATGTGGTTGGACTTGGATACATAACAAGGGGAAACACATAGGAGAGATATAGGAATAGGTAGAAAACCCAAAACATGAAAGCGTTTAATGTCCCCCTCCGGAGGAACTAATACAGAAACCTTAAAGCGACAGAGGTTAACATGAGAAGGGGATCAGGAACCAGTGCAAAGATCAGTTAGTGATGAATCAACATGGGTTGTAACACATGTGTACACAAAAGCAATGCTAGGAATATTTCTGTATAGCTATCCTTAACTCAAGTAGCAAAAACACTTTGCCTTCCTTATTATGCTTACGTCTTTTCTTCAACAAAATTAGAGGTAACTGCAGAACTGGTTCTGCCTGGAAGTGAGAGATGGAGTAGGGGAGAGGGGCAGGGTGGAGAAATGACCCAAACAGTGTATGCATATGTGAATAAATGAATAATTTTTTTAAAGTTTCATTTTTGAGTAAGTAGTTGTACCCCTCGTTCAAAATGCAAGCAAAAGAAGAAGGATAAACACTGAAAAATCTCCTTTGCACCCTTCTTTTCCAGCAACCCAGGTTCTTCCCCACAGTCAGCCATATTATTGATTTCTGTTACAAACTTGTAGCGACTTTTATTTTACTTTCTTTTTATTTATTTATTTTTATTATATTATTGTTGTACAGGGATACATTGTAACATTTCTAAAATTCTTACAATATATCACAGTTGAATTCACCCCCTCCATCATTCTTCTTTATCTGCTTTCATTCTTGGAATAGTTTCAACAAGTCTCATTTCTCCATTTTCATACATGAGTACAAATATTTCCACCACATTCACCCTCCTATACTCTTTCATTGTATCCTCCCCTCTCCCACTGGTACCAACCCTCAGACAAGAGCTATTTTACCTTCCTGTTCTTCATTTTTTTAAAAAAGGCATTTTTGTTTATTTAATATAGCTATACAGGGAGTTTCACTGTGACATTTCTATATTTATGTATTACAACCCGAATTGGTTCATCCCCTCTATTTTTCTCCTTTCTACCTTAGACCCCTTCTTATGATTATTTCAATCGGTTTAAAAATTCTATATTTATTTTTGTATAGAAATTACATCAACCATATCCACCTTCATAACTTCCTTCTTTTACCCTCCCTCTCCCATTAGTGACCCTTCCTTAGCATAACCTGTTTTTCATAATATTGCTTATACTTGTATTGTGTTAGGATTTTTTTAAATGAATATATGCAAGTATTCTCATGTTCTTTTCACACTTTCTTACACAAATTATAGAATATTATTTCTTGGAATATTGTGTTTTGGTTTTTTCTTTTTAGAAATAGTCTGGCTTTGTGGCCTTGAACTCTTGATCCTCCTGCCTCAGCCTGCCAAGTGCTAGATAGGCATGTTCTACCATGGACGATATTAATTTCTTACTTATTATGCATCTTAGAGATTGTCCTATACTTTTTGAGGCCGTTCTTCACTGTTGGAGCCAGCAATGGGACCTTGCCTGTGTGAGTCGGCATTTGGCCTTGTGAGAAAGCTCCATGGAACTGAGGCAAAAGTCTCAGACCAGACTGTGCCTGTGTGAGTTGGTATCTGGCCTTGTGAGAAGGCCAGATGTCCAGAAAAATGATATTCAAGATTCCCAGATGGCGTTACACTTCACTATGTGTGTAGGCTGGCCTCAGTGTTCCTGGGCTCAAGGGATGCTCTTGCCTTAGCCTCTTAAGTACGTGGGAATACAGACTGGCCCCATTGTACCGGGCTCCTGTCATTCCATAAAGAGCTCTGTTTTTTATAGGCTAAAAACTGTGATATACTCCTCAAGATACATATGTTAAAATCCTAACTCCAAATACCCCAGAAAGTTACCCTACTTGGAAACAGGATCAATCTAGATATAATTAGAGGAGTGGAGGTCCAAATTATGCCTGCAGTCCCAGCAACACTCTGAATTAAGCAAGAGATGAAGCAGTCACTTGAGCTGCCCCTCAAGTGAGCCAGAACAATGAATGCAGGGCCCACCTTTCACTTCCATTCTGACTGAGGAATCCCACTGCAGGGCACAAATGGGTATAAAGTACTCTGAAGATTTCCCTTCACTGGGATTGTCTTGGTTTCACATTGATCAAGGTGGTATAGATTTTCAATTGTTCTCTAGAGCTCTCAATATGTTCTGGTTCATTTATTGTTAAGGAGGTGTCTCTGAAAAAACAAGTGCTTAAAGCTTCCTACACTAGCACCATCTTGACACCACTTCCTCTTTTCAGCAGTTTCAAAGTAATGCTCTCCATCCCGTCAGCACTCTAAGTCACGCAAGAGGAAACCAATACCCTGGGCATCTCCTGGACGTGCTACAATGTGGGATTCACTAACTAAACTTTGGTTTCCATCCTGAGAGAGTTTCTTCAGTGTGTTCACTTCATCCCAGTTTCACTGCATAAAGTTGGATAGGAGAGGGACACAGGTGGTGTGCAAACCATCTGAATTTTCCTCTCACTGAATCCCTGTTTTGGTTTTATGATGATCTGGATGCTATATCTTCTTATGTGGACTCTAGAGTTCCCACAGAGGCATTCTGATCCACATATTCTTTTTATCTTAGTGTTTCTGTGGAAGAAGGGGTGAGGAGACATCCTATTCTTCCATCATGCAGATACCTGTTTCATTATTTTATGTGAGTTAACATGTCTTTGAAATGGTTTACTAATACTTGTTCACTAGCCTGTATCCCCATAGGATCACTTTTTCCAACAAACATTTTATTTTCAGACAATATAGGTTTACAAACAATTTAATTTTTTATTTAAAAATCAATATCACCAGATATTACAAAAATAGTAGTCCTGAATACCTTCCAATGATAATGTTTTACATAGTTACAGTGCATTATTAAAAGCAGGAAATTAACCTGGCATGTTCATGTATTCTTTGTATCATCCTCTTATAAATAAGGTGAATTATACTGGCTGGTGTTAATTATTACTATACCAATTCTGCAGTAACAGAATAAGTCACACCCAGTAGTGATTTAATGTCCTTTAATAGCTTGGTCTTCCTTCCTTCCTCTCTCTCTCTCTCTCTCTCCCTCTCTCTCTCTCTCTCTCTCTCTCTCTCTCTCTCTCTCTCTCTCTCTCTTTTTTTTGAGAGTGTTGCTGTATGGCCCATACTGGCCTCAAACCCATGATCCTCACAACTTAGCCTTCCAAGGGCCAAAATTACAGGTGTGTGTCACCATACCTGGCAAATATATTGTTCACTATTATTTCCTAAAATTTTGTTAAGGGAATGTTTATTAATGTTCATTGGGAACATGCCACTGAAGTTTAGTTTCCTATTCTTATAATGTCTTCGAGTGTTTTGGGTATCATTAATGTGGATATTACAAAATGGGTTGGGAAATGCTCCCCCTTCTTCAATTCTTCTCTCTGGCACAGAAGAGATACTCAATACCTATACCATAGGTTATTTGAAAATTGAATTAATGTGATATATAGGTCATTTATGGTAACTGAAATTTAATAATACATCATTAGTACAGACTAAATGTAAGCATGATGCACTTTTGTTTTCTCTTTAATCTTCTTTGTGATTTTGAGGTGGGGATCACTGTCCCAAACTAACAAGTAAGGAGCATGAGACTCATCCAACATCTCTTAGCTGAGTGGAGTTTTCATAAACTAACACCAATGTCTAACTTCTCGCTATACCTCAAGACAGCCATGATCCGTGGCATAGATAGGCCTGTCTCCTCTTTCCTAAAACTCATCTTCACTGGCCATTCAGGGTTCTGGATCTGAGAAAGAAACCTTAGCAACTGAAGGAGAGTGTGAAGTGTGACTCTTTCTGTGCTTCTTACCACAGATGAAGGGAACAGACACGTCTGTGAAGACTTCTGTTTTAAATGTGAGAAGATATGGAGACATTTTGAAAATAGGCTTCTCTCTCTGAGGCATTGGACAGATGACAATGGGAGTTGCATTTTCCTCATCATTTGGATTATGCTGGATGTAGGGCCTCAGTAACCCTTCAAACCGATGTGTCAGAGTATAAATGAGGGACTGGTCATCCATATTAAAGAATGAGAGGGTCCCACCCTCATAGTCCAGGAAGACACCCACTCTTGTGGGGTTGGTTCTTAAGGAGAGATGGATTCTATTGGGATTGTTTACAAAATACCAATTTTCTTTCTCTTGTCCAAGAATCCAGTACCCACTGACTAGATTCAAATTCACATAGTGCTCCTTCCTGTGCACACTATCCTGGCACACTCCCATGCACCACATTTTATTATGTCCAGCCATCACTTCCCAGTAATGTTTCCCTGTTCAGAAACCCTGAGAAGTCACCACACACATTCTCAAAAATCTCTTCTCCAAGTTGAAAATGCACTGAGGAATACTCTTATAGGATACCTCTTTTCAGATTTGAAATGTAGAACTGGGGGTGAGCTGTGTCTGGGTCCAGAGTCAAGTCCACTAGTCATATTGACGGAGAGAAAGAGCACGTTACTGTGAGGAAAGGAACTTCAACTAGGCCCAAAAGTCATCCTATCTCATAGCACACTCAGATTGGTATTAGGTGAAGTGTAGGAGCCAGTCTCCATTATACATTGCCCTTCCAGTCCCTCTAGCAGTGCCCTTCCCTCATCTCTAGCACAACATGGATCCTTGCTAACATTGAAAGTCTAGCTGTGAGGTCAAAACCTTTTGTGTATCATCCTGACCTCACCACTGTCCCTAAATATAAATCCATTATTTGATTTTGAGGCCTCAAATAAGTCTAGTATCCAATTTCTTCCCTTCTATCAATTCCTACCCAACTTTAGTTAACATCTTCATCAGCTCAGTGTCATGTCCAGTCACTACTGCCCTCAATTTCATGGAGCTTTGTCTGTGATCTCCACAGTGACTGATCTTCTTGCATCCTAGATCTGGACAGAGAAGTATCTGGAGAGAGGAGAGATGCACCCTCAGGTAGATCACAGATTCATCATATGCAAGCATGTGGTCCTCAGTATCACTCAGAAACTTCCTATCTATCACTTATTAGCTATGCACACCAAAGGCTCTGTCCTACTGTCACCCTCTCATCCCTTGGTACCTGCATGTTTCCTGGCTTCCATCTTTGGATGGAAGCCTGTTGCCCTCTTTGGGACGCAGATTCACCAGAAATCTGATGAAGTCAAGATCTCTTTTCAAAATGTGCCTCACCCTGTATTTACTGACAACTTCAGAGTCTCAACAACTTTGAAGCCCATCACAAGTTTGCCTTTTTAGGGATCCATGAGCCTTAAGTGTAGGAATTCATATACCATGGGGACATAAAAGGAAGTAACAAATGGAGGGTGAGGAGGAATGGCTTCTATTACCTTCCTGTCTCTGAAGCTCTCTCCAATCTTAAACCAAAAACACAGAAGAGAATCACAGGACAGGGCCATGGGGAGTGTGTGGGAGTAAAGTTTGGCAAGTGACAATGCTTTTACCCAGTTTATCCTGGATTTCTCCTGAAGAGAAAGCAGAATATTCAGTGGTGATTCAGGCCTGGATAACGAAAAGCTCAAATAATCAAGAGAGGGTAGAGAGCCACCCCATAGGTTACTCAGCATTCTGGGTCCACACACTCTCAGAGTGCTCATGAAATCTACTGTTCTACTGCATGAAATGTAGCAATAGACAAAATTTGTAGGTAGTTGTAGAATGTTCCCATACCTAGATTCCCATCCTAAAGTCAAAATACTTTGTTTTCTCTTTAGATCATAGAAATCTCATGCCTTTTGCAAACACTCCCAGATATCTAAGGATTAGTTTCTTATTAATGAATGGTGAAAGCAAACCACTATTGTCATCACTCAACCTTTCTGTTCAGTGTTAAACACAACAGTGAACAGATGGCTTAAACCACCTAGGCCTCAGGAGAACTGTGTATGGAAGGGTCCAAACATAATAAGATACTCACTCAATTCTTTCTGATTTATTCCTGTAACAAAAACAGAGCATTTAGTGTTCAACAGAGTAATGTTTAAAGTACAAACACAAACATGGCTCACAGCTCAGGTGGGACAAGCTGGGAGTCTGAATAACAGGGCCTCTCCTGGAACTCTCCTTCTGTGCCAAATCCCCAGTCTCTGTTCTAAGCATCTCCATCTGGAATCAAACATGGTATCAGGATCATCCACACTGCAGAGAGGAATGGAACTCTGGGATTCGGTGGTTGTAAAGGTAAAGAATATCAGGTAGAAAGTGGCTGAGTATGGAGGTGGAATTATGGCATGCACCCTCAAGGTGCAGTGTCACCACCAAAAAGGAGAATATTAACTCTTAGGGATGAAAATTCTTTTTGAAGCTAAATATTATTTCATCTTGTCCACATTTACTTCTGTGTATACACACACACAAGTTTTCAACTTTAGTGAGCCCTTTTTGTGAAGACTTGGTATAATCCTCAGAAATTTTGATCAACACTGGCTTCTGAAAATCATTCTTCCATACTTCTGAGGCCTACATAATGTAAGAAAATCCTGGCTGATGTTTCCTGGGGTATCATTTCAGTTCAGCATAGAGGAGGATGAAAACTGATCCCTGTGGACAGCCTGATAGGGCTCTGGAGCCCAGGGTTGTAAAAACAAATGCAAGGACTGGAGGTGTGGCTGAGGCAGTAGAGTGCCTAGTTTACAAGCTTGAAATTCTAATCTCTCTCTCTCCTTCTCTCTTTTTTTATTGTTTTATTATTCATATGTACATACAATGCTTGGGTCATTTCTCTCCCCTGCCCCCACCCCCTCCCTTACACCCACTCCGCCCCTCCCTTTTCCTCCACCCCCTCAATACCGGCAGAAACTGTTTTGCCCTTATCTCTAATTTTGTTGAAGAGAGAATATAAGCAATAATAGGAAGGAACAAGGGTTTTTGCTAGTTGAGATAAGGATAGCTATACAGGGAATTGACTCACATTAATTTCCTGTGTGTGTGTGTGTTACCTTCTAGGTTAATTCTTTTTGATCTAACCTTTTCTCTAGTTCCTGGTCCCCTTCTCCTATTGGCCTCAGTTGCTTTTAAGGTATCTGCTTGAGTTTCTCTGTGTTGAGGGCAACAAATGCTAGCTAATTTTTTAGGTGTCTTATCTATCCTCACCCCTCCCTTGTGTGCTCTCGTTTTTATCATGTGCTCAAAGTCCAATCCCCTTGTTGTGTTTGCCCTTGATCTAATGTCCACATATGAGGGAGAACATACGATTTTTGGTCTTTTGGGCCAGGCTAACCTCACTCAGAATGATGTTCTCCAATTCCATCCATTTACCAGCGAATGATAATATTTCATTCTTCTTCATGGCTGCATAAAATTCCGTTGTGTATAGATACCACATTTTCTTGATCCATTCGTCAGTAGTGGGGCATCTTGGCTGTTTCCATAACTTTTCTATTGTGAATTGTGCTGCAATAAACATGGGTGTGCAGGTGCCTCTGGAGTAACCTGTGTCACAGTCTTTTGGGTATATCCCCAACAGTGATATTGCTGGATCAAATTCTCCTTCTCTCTTGCTCCCCGCTCCTTTCCACTCTCCTTCACTTACCCAAGGATCTGAAGAATAAAATGCTTGTCCAAATAATATAAACAAGTCCAGCAATACAGAGGAATACCAATACAATAGAATGCAGTAATCAGGGTGAAGTCTGGAAAAATGCCTCTGAAAAACAAGATGAGACCTCTCAATGTTTATTTAACTGCAAAGGCCATTTTATTCTCATTTTAGAATCCTCTTGCATCCCAAGGATGTTTTTCTATCATTTTTTCTATTTGTTAAAAGTTTGCATTTCTGGCCAGTGTAGTGATACATACCTTTAATCTCAGCATTAGAAAGACTGAGGCAGGAGAATTACAAGTTGAAGGCCAGCCTAAGCTACATAGTAAGTTCAAGGCCAACCTGCCCTACATAGCAAGACCTATTGCAACAAACAAACAAAAATCAAAGAAATAACACATCTTTGGATTTCTGAGTAAGTCTTGATCCTACCTAAGTATAGTAAAAGTTGTGTTTCATGTGCCAGCATCATTTATTAATGGACTTTCCTTACACACTTACACACAATGTCATATCATCTCCATCAAGTTTCTATTTAAGCTTGCACATGTGTTCTGGCTCTGTTCTGTGCCACTGGTCCACTTATCTGTCTCTGTGCCCATAATTGTGACAGTCTCTTTCATCACAGGCATAGAATAGGATTTGATATATACTAAACAGAGATGCTCATTGTTCTTATTTGGCTGTGTCTAGGCAATTTTTGAACATTTTCTCTGCCACATAAATTCTGGAATTGGGTGGGGATGTAGGTCAGTGGTATGCAGTTACATAGCTTGAGCAATGTACTGTCTATTGTATCTCTGCATTTAGTTTTACTCCACCTCATTTCCTATGCTACTTCATGTACAATATTTTGAGACAGCTAACCTTAACTACTAATTTACACTGTCCTTTTATTTCTGTAAACCATTCTCCTTATCATTTCCATCCTTCTGTTCATTTACAGTTTGTTCTGAGATAAATATTAAAACCTAATAGATAAAAATTCAGCATTTTCATTTCTAATATGAGCATTTAAGAGTACAATTTTGACTCAGAAAATTATTTTAACTTTATACATGATATAATGTATTGTGATTGTATTACCATTAATTTCCAAGTATTTTCTGATTATCTTTGGGATATTTTCAATGATCCTATCTTTTATATGTTACATTTTTTTCAAACATATAATAATTTTAAGTTATTTTTATTGAAATTTAACATTTTTATTTGTGATGATTAGAAAACATTGTCATTGTCTCAATGTCACTATATCTTAGAAATTTTCTGAAAACCATTTTATATGCTTATACCTGGTGAAATTTTTTTAGGTATAGCCTTTTAATGGTTAGTTCAGGCCAATTCATTTGCAATCAAATTGTCAAAATTCTCACTAACTTTATCTTTACCTAATCACTTTTAGACACACAATTGCCAATTTTTCCTTCTATTTCCATGGATGTTTGCTTTATATGTGTTAAATATCTGAGGTTCACTTATATTTAAAATGTTCATATTTCCTTGGTGAATTAACTTTTTATATTTATGAAATAATTTTACTTTTTAGTGATTTTCTTAAAAATTGTTGTGACACTAATATATCACTTACAGTTTTCCTTTAATATTTGTCACAAATATTAATTTCCTTTTTATGTTTCAATAAATAACTCATGTGTTTTAATTTTTTCTCATGAGTACAACAATTGGTAATTTTTAGTTCAGTCTGACAATTTGTGTTTTAACTGGCAAATTAAGCTTCTTCACATTGATTGTAATTACTGAAATATTTGGGTTAGCATTATTATTCTATTACTTTCTACATCATTCTCTGAAATTACATTTTTATTATGTTTTATAGGGTAGTGATTTTTTTATAAAAATAAGTGACCAATATTTTTCTTGATTTTTAGATTTAGTTTTCTTAAGTTTTGTGCATATTAAGTTTGGAGAGGTGCTCCATAGAGTCATTTTGTGCATATTATTTATGCAAAGGGATTCCACAGTGTGTTTCTACATATGAGTGTTAAGAGCATAATGGACTTTGGACATATTCACCTCTTCTATTACTCTTTCTCATCCCCCTCTCCCTTTTTGAAAACACTTTTAATTGATATCTTTCTTCTATTTTCATATTCCCATCATTCCCTTTTTTCACCCTCCCCCCTCCTTCTAGTTTCCCTCTCAAACATGATCCTCATGAGAGTGATCTTGCGGTGCATGAAACACTTAATTCTGATCCTAAGAAATGCAAGCCATTCTGCCACCTAATCAAATGATTATTACTTTGGCTTTCAAAACTCATTATTAAAATAAGACAATATTAACAATCTTGAGATACAGACCATTTACATCCAAAGTCCTACACACTCGTTTCCTATCTACTCACTTCCTATCAATATTCTAGATTTCACTTCTGGGCTCTGGTCATTGAGTTGGATGGAACATAATATGATCCTGGTATTGTCTTGAACCACAAGAGAGGTCTCCACATCAAACAGACCATGGGCATCTTTATTCACTTTGGAGTCTGCAGGTTGTTCAACTCCTTCTGGGTCTTTCCACTTCACTATGAGTTGAGATAACCAACCAGATGACTGACAGAGTAGCTGGATGCCTCTATCAACATATCCCACGATGGAAATGAGAGAAGTTGAGCCCATTTCTGGGGAAAAAATAAAGAAGTCAAAAAAAAGATCATATTCCAAGTCTGTCCTAAGCAAGACTCATCAAGCCCATCCACAAAACAACCCTCCCTCTATCTCTTGTTCTCTCTCTTACACACATGTAGAGGAATAAATGATTATTAAAGGAAGTCATAGCTTCTTTGAGGTGACATTTGTACCCTGCTATATCACATAACTGGGTTTCTACAGCTGGACAAGTAAAGGAGATGGAGAAACATTCCATGAAAATGGGCAAGTACATACTATGGGGTCAAGACTGGACATGTCATAGAAATACCTACTAGCATTTGGTATTTATGAATTGAAGTGTACAAGAAGAAAAGGATGTAAAATGAGATATGAGACTAGCACAGATTCAGACCATGAAGTGAATGCACTGACCCAAGGATTATAGAGCATAAAAAAAAAAGAAGTACTCAGCAGGAACAAAGAATTAGGAAATTATCCAAGTATATAAAAGCATTTTAAAAAACTCTTTTAAAAATTGTTTTTGTAACACAAATGGCAAAAAAAGAAAAACAGACCTGATCTAAGTACTAAACCAAAAGAGGGTGATTACCTGATTAAATAAAAGCTTTAAATAAGACCCAAAGTATCCTGACATAACACCTAAAATGTCCACCTTTTAACAAAAATCACTCATCATTCTAAAAACTGGGAAAACACTAACTTCATGGAGAACAGTCAATCAAATGATGCCAAGTCAAATTTAATCAGATGTTGGAAATTACCTGACAAAGAGTTTAAGTAACTATCACAAAAATGCTTCAATAAATGATTATAGTCCAGATATTGTGGTGCACACCTGTTGTCCCAACTACTTGGGAGGCAGAGGTAGGAAGATTGCAGACCTAGGCTTCCCTGGGAAAAAGCACCAGGGTAAAAAGCACTGAAAAACAAACTAAAGCTAAAAGGGCTAGGACATGGTTTCTGTGGCAAGCACTTGCCTTACAAGCACCAGATGTAATAATAATAATAATTTATAATAATAATAATATAAAAGCCAAATAATAATAATAATAGTAGTTTTTATTATTATATCTCTTGAAACATATGAAATATAGAAAAGGTTACATAGAAGAGTCATAAAAAAGAATCATATGGATATTATATAACTGAACAAAATAATAACTGAAATTAAATTATGCTGAATGGGACCCACAGTAAAGTAGAAAAGATAGAAGACATAATTAGTGAACTCAAGTATAACACCAGCACTCGGAACCCCTAGTTCCTGGGAGGCCTCTCCACCCTACCATATACTAAAAGAACAGCAGGCACTGCACGCAAAGCCCCACCCCATAGGCCCACAGAGCCACTTCTCCATACACTGTGTGATCTCCGATCCTCCAGCCCTGTTCTTTTGCCCCAACAGGGCTGTGCTACCTCAAACTCCCAACCCTCAGAACAGCAGGATCTCCGTGGGACAAGCCCTGTCTCACTGGGCCACGCTCCTCAGCCCTGCATAATCTCTGCTTTGTCGGCCAGGCCACCAAGGCCTGCACAGTCCTGCAGGAGCTCCATCTTGCTGGGCCACACTCCCCAGCCCTTCACGATCTCTGCTTTGCCACCCAGGCCCCCAAGGACTGCACAGCCCTGCAAGAGATCTGTTCGGCTGGACTGCACTCCCCAGCCCTGCATGATCTCTTCTTTGCTGGACATTCCCCCAAAGCCTGCACAGCACTACACAATATTCACTCTGCAAGGCTGTGCCCCTAAGGCCTGCCAAGCCAGGGACACACACACACACACACACACACACACACACACACGATCTCCATTCTGCTCGACCGCACCCCCTAAGCCTGTCAAGCCAGGATTCCATAGACATGCAGGATCTCCACTCTGCTGGCCTATGCCCTTCAGGCATGTCAAGCCCATGCTCCAAAGGCCTGCTACTTCACCTCAGCTAAAGGCCTCCACCCAAAGGCCTGTGGGACCCCACCCACCATCCACGTGCCACAGGAAGGCTCAACACCTACCTAAGAGACACATACACACAGGTCTGGATGCTAAAGAACTAGCATCAGAGCAACTAAGACTGCAATTCTGCTGATCCAGAACTGGTGATTTTTTTTTAATTTTTAATTTTTATTTTTTTCCCTTCTTTTAGGGATTTGCTGCCTGGTTTACGTTTGATCATCCATCATCTCTACCATTAGTTTTCTCTTTTCCTGTCTACTCTATTCCTTTTATCTTTCCATCTCTCTCTTTTTTTATCCTTCTCTGTTGCTTTTGTTAGTATTAATATTGCTACCCAGCTAATACTAAATTATACATAGTTCAGGGATAGAAATGTTACCTAGTGAAAATATGGGAAGGAGAAAAAGGGAAGGAAACAATTTCCCCCAAAAAAATAAAGTACTGCAGGATCTAGAGTGAAATGAAGAAAATGGATACCCAGACCCAGACTCCAACAAAACAAAGATAAACTATACCAAGGAACCCAATGAAGCTCAAAAGAAAACTCTGAAAGAAGAAATACTACAAGTAATTAATGAGAATTTCATAGAGATGTTATTAGACATGGTCAACCAAAATGTACAGGAGGCACTCAAGAAATTCCAAGAGGACAAAAATAAAGAATATGAGAAAACACAAAAACAAATAAATGAAATCATAGAAACCCTAAATAAACGCCAAACTGAAACTAGGACCACCATAAACAGAGAGATAAACAAATTAAAGACAAAAATTGACAATATTAAAGAGGAAGTACCACAAGATATGGAAAAACCTCAGAAAGAAGAATGAAACAGAAATACAAAATGAAATGGAAGGCCATTCCAGCAAAAGAGAACAAACAGAAGACAGAATCTCAGAACTTGAAGATGAAATGGCAATTAAAGGAAAAACTAAAGAACTATTAGTTAAACAACTCAAGACCTGTGAAAACAAAATGCAGGAACTTACTGACTCCATCAAAAGACCAAACCTGAGAATCATGGGCATTGAAGAAGAAGAAGAGGTGCAAGCAAAAGGAATGCATAATGTTTTCAATGAAATAATAACAGAAAACTTTCAAAACCTACAGAACACTATGTCCATTCAGGTACAGGAAGCCTCCAGAACACCAAACATACCTGACCAAAATAGAACTATCTCATGACATATTATCATTAAAACAACAAGTACAGAGACTAGAGAAAGAATATTGAAGGCTATAAGAGAGAAAAAAAAATAACATACAAAGGCAAACCCCTCAAAATCACAGCAGACTTCTCAGCAGAAACATTAAAAGCAAGAAGAGCATGGAGTGAGGTCTTCCAAACACTGAATGAAAATAACTTCAACCCTAGGATACTCTACACAACAAAACTATCATTCAAAATAGACAGAACAATAAAAGTCTTCCATGATGAGCACAAATTAAAACAATATATGACCACCAAGCCACCACTATAAAAGATTCTCCAAGGAATTCTGCACACAGATAATGAAAGCAAACAAAGCCATGAAAGGGCAGACAAAACGAAACCACAGGAGAAGAAAATGCAAGGAAGCAGAGTAACACTGATTCAGCTACACACAATCAAACCCTTAATCAACAAAGATAACTACATGACAGAGATCACCATGTATTTATTAATACTAACACTGAATGTTAATGGACTAAATTCCCCCATCAAAAGACACTGCTTGGCAAACTGGATTAAAAAGGAAGATCCAACAGTCTGCTGCCTACAGGAAACCCACCTCATTGACAGAAGTAAGCACTGACTGAGAGTGAAAGGCTGGAAGATTTACCAAGCCAATGGTCCCCAAAAACTAGCAGAGGTAGCAATACTTATCTCAGACAAAGTAGACTTCAAACCTACTTTGATCAAACACGATAAAGAAGGACACTCGATGCTAATAAAAGGGGAAATACACCGAAAGGAAATAACAATTATCAATCTATATGCACCCAATGTCAATGCATCCAGTTACATCAATCATACTCTGACGGGCCTAAAAGCATATACAGACCCCAACACAGTGGTAGTGGGAGACTTTAATACCCCCCTATCACCAATAGATAGTTCATCCAAACAAAAAATCAATAAAGAAATCCTAGAACTAAATCACACCATAGATCAAATGGACTTAGTTGATTTCTACAGACTATTTCATCCAACTTCTGCACAATATACATTCTTCTCAGCAGCCCATGGAACCTTTTCCAAAATTGGTCATATCTTAAGGCACAAAGCAAGCCTCAGCAAATATGAGAAAATAGAAATAGTCCCATGCATTCTGTCTGACCAAAATGCATTAAAACTAGAAATCAATAACAAAAACAGCAGCAAAAAACACACAAAATATTGGAAGCTGAACAACACATTACTCAACGATGAATGGGTCACTAATGAAATAAAAGAGGAAATTAAAAGGTTCTTAGAAGATAATGAAAATGAAAACACAACTACTGGAACCTATGGGACACAGCAAAGGCAGTCCCAAGAGGAAAGTTTATAGCCATGTGTGCATACATCAAAATGACAGAAAGATCTCAAATCAATGACCTAACACTACAGCTGAAACTCCTAGAAAAACAAGAACAAACAAACCCCAAAACAAGCAGAAGGAAAGAAATAATTGAGATAAGGGCTGAAACCAATGAAATAGAAACAAAAAAAAATACAAAGAATCAATGAAACAAAAAGCTGGTTCTTTGAAAAAATAAATAAGATTGGCAGACCCCTGGCAAACCTAACTAAAATGAGGAGAGAAAAAACCCAAGTCAGTAAAATCAGAAATTCAAAAGGAGAGATAACAACAAACACCATGGAAATCATCAGAGACTACTTTGAGAGCCTATACTCTGACAATTTTGAAAATCTCAAAGAAATGGACAGATTTCTAGAAACTTACAACCACCCAAAACTAAACCAAGAGGATATTAATCACCTGAATAGCTCTATAACACAAAAAGAAATGGAAGCAGCACTCAAGAGCCTCCCAAAAAAGAAAAGTCCAGGACCTGATGGATTCACTG